CTCCTATTTTCAGCAATATTTTCCTTCAAGGTTCATTATTTATATCTTTCCGCACAAAACTGAAATTTTTAAACAAAATCGAATCTGCATTTTTTTTATTTTGCTTTTTACTATTTTCCATTTAAGTTCAGTCAAATACCATAGTCATGGTATTAAATTCTTTTATTATACTTCACGTTAAAATGCCATATTTTGATTGGCTGATACGAGGGTGTTAATTTACTCTATCACATGGCTGAGCAGGTGACAATTTTTTTGAATGTCACCCTCTCGTCCAGACCAATCAAAAATCGATAAGTTAAAGGACAATGAATTGAATTTACATCAAGTTATTAAAGACAATGCTTAAGTTCTACGTTTTGGCTCAGATTCTATTATTTGACTGTCAAAATAAAAAAATAAAACATCTTGCTTCAATTCTGTTAATTTTTCTAATACCAATAACGTTGTTATGTACGTGACGTCAAAGAAAATACTTTTAAATAAAATTCATCTGTAAAAGACAATAATGATAGAACATTCAGTATAATAAATTAAATAACACATAGCTGAGAGGGTGATAGAGCAGATTGGTACCCCTCGAAAAAACATTGTCAACCTTGGCTTCGCCGCGGTTGACAATGTTTTCTCAGGGTAACAATCTGCTCTATCACCCTCTCAGCTATGTGTTATTTATATATTATATGTTTCATTTGTTTTCTCTCCTAGAAATCAATAATCACGAACAAATAAATTGAATTTACCATTTCATTAGAATTACTGTTATATTATTTAAAAAAAAATATATTTTATTTAATTTCAAGCAGGCCTTGGGAATCTAGACAGAAAGAATTTCAAGACAAACAATAAAAGTATAGTTTCGACACCTATTAGCTCACCTAGGGTGAGCCCAAAAGGGTCATGTTGCCACAATACTTTTGATTACTCGTCTGAAAAATTTTCACATTTTAATCTTCTGCAAAATCTTTCTTGCCAACTAAAACCAAAATTTTCATATTTGTAGGTACTTCACAATATTATTTTTAATGTGGATCTTAAATTGATAATAGTTGCAAGGGTCAAAATGTATTCTGATTAAAAGAAATTGCAAATATCTTGGAATTTCTTTGCATTTTTATTTAAAATATTGTAAAAATGATCCATATATATAATATCCTTAAACCAATTTTGAGGTTTTGTTGCCAATCAAAATTCAAGGAGGCCACCACCACTGAACACAAATTAACTTATGAGCTTTCTCAAAGTTCAGCACTACTTTATTTAAGGAAAGGGTTTCTGTGGGTGAAAATATACAAGAGACGCATCAGTATACATTGTATATCCCAGATCAAGCATACATTGTATGGGCCTTAGAAAATAGTTTTATTTCCATAATTTTCTTCGGATAGAGAACATTTAATGTTCCTAAATAACAATCCTGAGCTTATCTGTTATAAGATGACACGGCAGCTTACTCTAGGGAAGTTTTTTGGCAGAAAAACAGAAAGCTAATTTTATATCATTTTATGTCTGTAAATGGCAGTATAGAAATTTCATAAGCAAGTACAAAATTTCTGACAAGTATTATAGGATGGTCACTTGCAAAAAGGGCAAGTTGTTTAAAAACAAACTTATGTCGAACCCTGCACAACGCCAATTTTGAGCTGTTGCTTCTTATCTGAAAAGGCAAGAGGACCGTCGCCGTTGAACACAGTTTAACATAGAACTCTACGTGAAAGACAAAGAAATAGCTCAAAAACATCTGGAGGGGGCACAACCAATACATGAACTCGCTGATGATAACACAACACAAATTTAACAATTACTATCCACACTGATCTGTGTCCAAACTTGTAAAAGTTAAAAAAAAAAAAAAAAAAGTTTTAACCTTTTAAAAGTTATGAAAAAATATAAAAATTAAGATAGCTCCTAACGTAAATTTACATTCTTTCATAATGAATGAGCTCTGGTCTAACGAATGACGAAAAACAAAATCGTGTTTTTGCTATAAATTAGAATTATTATTATTATTGATATCTATAGATTTACTGCATTTTGACGGTTTTAAACAAAATCTCGACTCTCGTAGATACTGCCTCTCTTAAAGGTTTTGTCTCATTTAAAAGTACTGCACGCTATACCTTAGTGCGCAGTATTATTGAGATTGAAAGACACATTTGTTGATCTCTGAATTGTGAAGCTAGGCTTTTAATAACACAACTATTTTTCACAGAATTTGATGTGATTTCAAAGAATTTGATGTGAAATTGTATTTAAATGCATTTACGATCCGAAATACCTGATCTTTCACGATCTATCGCAAATCTTGACCACCGTTAATTATTATTCTATGATCATCTTCTCGATCAACAGGATAGCCGTGATTATACTTGCAGGTGATTATTCTTCACTGTAAGTCAATGTACTCCATGAGTGTAAAATTTCATATCATTTAATAAAAAAACGTTGACGGTCTCAAATTTAAGCAACAAGGCAAAGTGGCGAAATAACTTGGCGACGCACAGTGTACGTATCATTAACAATTACAACAGATGGTACACGTCAAGTGTGTAACGATGGATCATATCAATGAAGTCAACTCCCAAATTTTGAGCAACAAATTATAAGGAATGCATGCAGTAGAAAACAGACAAAATTGAAAATTGATGAGCAGTATTTACAAAAGTGTGACAACAAAACTGCATATTGGCACTAATATTTTTTTGATTTTTGACGCATTATATATATTATATCTAGAAAAATTTAATTAATGGTAAAGCTTCCCATACCGAAAATTGTACATACGCTGGGAAATCTTAAAATGCAGTACACATATTATCGAAAAAGGCGGAAAGAGGTTTCCATTCTCTATCAACCTATAGGAAAAAGGGCCATCAAAACCGAACTAAAATTATAATAAACTGCTTCGCTGGGCGCAGCTAGATACGCCCGCAGAGGTCCAACCCTGAACTGTTGGGGCAAAAATGGACACAATATTCAAGCTTGAGTTAGGTCTGAATTTAGATTGTAATTAAATATTTGACATATTATAGGTTTCTGAATAAATGTAGTCAAAGAATTTGAAATTGGTTATATGAATTGAATTTATACTAGTATTCAATTAAAGATTTCTTGCTGTTGTGCAATACTTTGTAAATCTGTTGTCAGACTATAAACAAATAAAGTTCAATTAATTCTCAATGTCATATTAGAAATTTATGAAAATATAAAGGGAGCTTACATCAATAGATATAAACAATTCACCAAAGTTTCATGAGAATTGGTGACAGCATTTTTTAGTTATTGTCCGAAAACTGGAAAATCACCCCTTTTTTAAATGAATAAAACTCCATAACTCAGAAATGTAAAATGTAAAATTTATAAAATTCTAAAGGGAGCTTACACATCAATACATACATACAAACAATTCACTAAAGTTTCATAAGAATTGCTGAAAGCATTTTTGAGTTTTTGTCCGAAAACTGGAAAATCCCCCCTTTTTTTATGAATAAAACCCTGCAACTCGGAAACATAAAATCTAAAGTTTATAAAAATCAAAAGGGAGAACATGTCAATAGATATAAACAATTCACCACAATTTCTTGCAAGTTGGTGAAAGCATTCTTGACTTATTGTCCGAAAACTGGAAAATCCATCTTTTTTTAATGAATAAAACCCTATAACTCGGAAACGTAAAATCTAAATTTTATAAAAAACGAAAGGGAGCTCACGTCAATAGATATAAACAATTCACCAAAGTTTTATGCAAATTGGTTAAAGCATTTTTGAGTTAATGTCCGACATGTTGACGACGGACAGACGGACAACGGTATACCATAATACGTCCCGTAAACGGGCGTATAAAAAAATGCACATGTCCATGTACATCTCACTAGTTCACGAATCGTATATTTTCTTTTGTTTTTACATATGTATACTTTCTGAGCTACACACATTATAATACAATTGAATAAGGTCAAGAAAATATGACCTATCACGTATTCTTATTGAGGAACATACCTCACTTAAAACGTAACCTAGTCACTGGAGCGTGAAATTGAGATAACTGATATATCACGTGTCAGACGGACAATTTCACTTCCAGGTGCGGATCCAGGGTTTTGAAATAATGGGGGGGGGGGGGGGGGGTCTGCAAGACCATGCAAGGAGTGGAACTTGTATATATGTAGCTCCATAAAGAGGGCGGATCACATGTAACCCCCCCCCCCCCCCCTAAATCCACCTCTGACTTCGTTACCAATTATTGTACCAAATAGTGTTGAACTGCACTGTATAGTTACTGATGAACAAACCTCCTTCTGCAATCATGTGTCAGAATTATCAATGATATGGTCATAATTATCATTTAACTATTTACAAAACTTTGAATTTTTCGAAATGCTAAGGATTTTCAACCCCAGGGATAGATTACCTTAGCTGTATTTGGCAAACTCACTCGGAATTTTGTGTCGTCAGTGCTCTTCAATTTCGTGCTTTATTTGACCTTGTTAACCTTTTTGATTCGAGTGTCACTGGTGAGTCCATAGCAAACGAAATGCGCGTCTTGTGTACAAAATGTTCAGCCAGGTATCTATGACGATTTTACAGATATACGCGACTCCTCCAAACCAATCCACATACCAAATAAATAGTCATGTATAATAACTGAGGGACAGAACTCATTCTGAGAGCTTAAACTTTACCACTGAATTGTAAAATTGAAATAGAGGAAATAATACCGTTATAATAGCTATATGGCGTGTGTATTTGAAAATTGTTAATACCGCCGTCACGGTCAGAAATTTAATAACCAGCATGTTATGCCTTTCACGACTTTCGTTGTAAGTGAGACAAAACAAATATGGTTTTTCAATAGAACAGACATCCCGATAAACCTTGCAGAAGACTACATCTCTAACCATTTATTTTTTGTTGCTAAATTATTCACATTAAGTTTATTCCTTACTTGTATAAAAGTGTCAATTATATGCATAGAAGTAAATTGAAACAAGTCGTACCCAGACATATAGTATCATTTTATTTTTGAATTTACACAGGTTTATGTTTTTCATACAGTATAATAGATTTGTGATGCTTAGATAGCATTACTATATAGTATCTAAAAAAGTTCATTGCCATATAAATAATGAAAAAATGACTACAAAAAAGAAATATTCACTCTGAAAAAGCGTCGGCTGTTAATTCTAAATTGTCAGCTGCTTTATCCTCAACAACCTTTCTGATGTCTTCCTCTCCTAACTTTTCCAACGCTGTTTTAAGTTCCTTAAGTTTATCTTTGTCTTTGGAATTTAATCTTATGCGTTTCCAATACAACAAACATTTCTGTGTTGTTTCAATCATCACTTTGTCATTTGCATCAGTTAATCCGGTTTCTGGACATTGTTCATTAATCAGATTTACAATAGATGTGTTCGGTATGTTTAAATACATGGCCAGCATTAATCCTTTAAGTTGTTTGACACCTACGACTCTCGCTAATACAGCCAGACTTCCATCTTTCAATACAGCATTTTCCTTGCTCTTTCCAGTTGTAGTGCCCGCTATAAAGGAAAACATACTGAACTATTTAATTACAACACATTACCAGTAAGCTTAATCACGATAAATAAATCCCCCAAGAAATTGCATATGTATATATCATTGTTGTACAATTACTTGATTTAACAGATTTTTACTTTATACTCTTTCAAACAAGCAGACAAAGATGTAATGCATCCTCAAAAAATCTCATGAAAATGTAAGGTCTTCTGGATATTCAATTACGCGAGGCCTTCGGTTACTTCAGACCTCGAGTGTATACAGGTGTGGATCCATAAATGTGAAATAAAAAAAATGTTTACATTGGCATAGCTCAAGAGATATAAAAAACATATAATACGTCATAAAGTCACAACCTTATCCCCAATCTTACCCTAAACAATAAACACATTGTCTTTGTAGTGCATTAACAAATTTATAAATATAATGATTAAACTGTACATTACCGTCAATATTATCCAGTTTAAATGAGACTCCCATGCTTATACAAATGACTAAAATATCTTTAAAGGAACGTGTTTTGCATATCGATACTCTCATACCTTTCTTTAACCGTGTCTTTTCCGTCATTTTTCACAAACTAAGACAACCAGGACGACAGAGAAATCTAATCAGTCGGCAAAAAATCAATTGTCAATGATTTTCAATTCGCCTGATCACACGACTTTTTTAAATGTCTGAACAAATACAGCGATATTTCTTTAAATAACTCAATATTTTCAACGGTACAATGAGTAATTTCCTTAAAAATGTATCCTTGAAGTATCATTACTGGACACTATATATAATATGGAAGTCACATATTAAACTTTGATGAAATCTTCCAAAATTGCCATCTTGACTGAGTATTTATAATTTGTTTTCATGTTTGGAAATACGATATAATGCCCCAACAACCTAATAGTACACACAATTCGTAAGGGTTCCGCGGAACCCAGTGTCTCGCCTACTTTTGCTGTTGTCTATGTTTTCAGTGTGATAGGGGAATGTACATAATAGATTTACAGTTAATGAAATAAAACGTTTGAAATGTATGAAAAAAGTTATGCTTGTAAAAAGTGATAACAGTATGCAATCAAATCTATAGATTTATAAAAGAGTTGAAATATAAATTTATTGAATGAACAAATGATAAAGAAGACAATGTTTACATTGCTTGATGATTTATCCCTTAATTCATCAATAAAAATGCATGTAAACAGAAGATGCAATTATAAAATTATAAAAATAATGAACTGGATTTTTTTTTTTTACAAAATCTACTTCTGGATATTATCTTATAATCATAAACAAGCTTCTGTCCAAGTTTGTTAAACATCCAAGATAGTTTAAGAAAGTTATTAAAATTTCAAAAACTTTAACCACAGAGTGAATATTTGTGGACGCTGCCGCCGACGACGACGGAATGTAGGATCGCTATGTCTCGCTTTTGCGACAAAAGTCGCAGGCTCAACAAAAATGGGGAAAAAATTATTAAAAATTTTCCTCTAGATACTATCTTTTGATTGTAAGAAGCTTCTGTCCAAGTTTGGTAAAAATCCAGGATAGTTTAAGAAAGTTATTAAAATTTTAAAAACTTTAACCACAGAGTGAATGTAATGTTAACTGGCAGAAAAACTAAGTCCATTTATAAATAAAATACGGATAAACTGGATTTTTTTTTACAAAATTTACTTCTGGATACTATCTTATGATCATAAACAAGCTTCTGTCCAAGTTTGGTAGAAATCCAGCATAGTTTAAGAAAGATATTAAAATTTCAAAAACTTTAACCACAGAGTGAATATTTGTGGACGCCGCCGACGACGACGGAATGTAGGATCGCTATGTCTCGCTTTTGCGACAAAAGTCGCAGGCTCGACAAAAATGTGAAAAAAAATTAAGCTGAGATACGGTATATTTTAGTAAAGTTAATAAGACTTTTTTAATGGTCCGGGTTTCAAAGGAATTCGAGGGAATTTGTCTCTGCTAAGGTATATATTAGTTAAACATCCTTGGCTCTACACATTATTTTACGTGATTTCAATATTTGATTTTCATAAATAAATCATATGCATGAATGCAATTAGTAATTCAAAGTCACAAAGAAAACACTGACCGAAATAGAAGAGAAACAAATACATAATCTTGAAATGATGCAAGAACTGAGAAGGAAGTAAATGATCGTTGGAACCTTTATATACATTTAAGGTTGTTCTAGTAACCAAGCTCTAACAAGTCTAGTGGGGTTTTTAGGCATATCAACCTAAAGTGCTATGGTGAAATAAACTGAAATTTCTGTTATAGTATGAAATAAGTTTCTCTTGTTAAAATACTAAAAAAATAATACTGTAACTGTTCCATTTGCAAAACATCTATAATTAATATAGCGTCAAAAAGGGAAGTGCTGCGATCAAGACCCCTTGCCTCGGTCAAAACTGAGGTCAAGCTTCGACTATAAGTTGCGGATACAGGAATTCGATTGAGATGAATTTTTGCTCACATTTGTAATTTAAGTAGAACTAGGCTCTCACTCCTCGAATGAATTCGCACTGATATTATTAACCTTGTACTACAGTGGACCGTTATATTAAAATACTGGGCGCCCTTAAAATAAACGGAAATATTGATTAAGTCTAATATATGATTATGTTTTCGTCTCAAGCACATGATGGATATTTCACTTGTGAACAAAAGAGAACAATTTAAACATTTAATCTAGACCCTGACAAGTTAAAAAATAAATATCATAAAGAGATTTGTTTCAATTGTTTTGTCAACTTGAAACCACGTGTATGGACTCAAGCGAGAAAAATATACAGTAAACAAAATGTCTAAGTAAATCAATACTTGTGATTGTGTGACAGATCTTGATTTTTAAGACTTATTACACTTTTATTTTCGCTGTCATTGTTTACAGAGTATTTTCGAACAATTAAATCAGTAATTTGATATTTTGTTTAAGAACAACTAACCTTCTTCAGTCATATTATATCCCGTTTAGTCAGACCAAGCGATCAGGTGCGTTACTGGCGTGTAAACAACAACTTAGCAACCGCACTCAAGTGTATACCGTATTGACCTCTTAGTAAAGTTACATAGTTAAATACGCGGATATTTAAACATGTCTGGACTACTCGACGTTGTAAACTAGATGTTCACCAGACTCATTTTAACTTATGCTATGTTTATAGATATACCTTATTTTGCATACTATGCTTTTATCTTTTATATGACATCTACGGTATCTTACCATGCACTGTGTGTTCAAAATTGTGTTGTTGTCATGACTTTTGTATGTGTGTCTATATTTTGTTATTCAGTCGATTTGAAAAGCTCACTAGAGCTTTTGTTTATGTAGTTTATTGAATATCGACTTTAAATAAAACTTGGAATTGGATTGAATTGAATTAAATTAACTCATTAAGGTAGCCTGGGCGTCCTGGCTCAACTTGTCAGCCTTACGACGCGAAGCTAGATTGGGCCGGGATGCCAGGTTATCATTAAGGTAGCTGGGGTCACAGTGGGGTGTCTAAATGTTCGACGATGGATTTTTCTTAAACTTCTATAAAGGACTACTGGGTCAATGTTCTTTCAACTTTCAATGTAAAAACTAGTGGTCACAGACCTCGTTTTTTTCGGTAAAATCAATTGAAATTAACGAACAGTTATTTTATATATGGGTTATATAGGGGAAACTTGATTTTACCTTATTGAGGAAACATTAAACGATAGAATTGATTAAAATTCAATGAGAGAATTGGTTTTCATAAAAACTTCCAAAATATAAAATAAAAATAGGGGTCACAGGCCTTATTTTCTTTTAAAAAAAACAAAAAAACACACTGTCCTATAATTATCTGCATATGATTTTAGAAGGACTTTTCTGAAAATTTTAATTCCACTTAACAACACTTAATTTTTTGATAGTTTAATCAATTTAAAGTTCTAGACGTTTTTGTTTTATAATGAATGATAATTGGAAAAATATTTTTAAACCAGAAAACATTATTAAAGAGCTAAGTAATTTATTACAATGATTTTTTATAATTAGAGAGACACAAATAACTTTGACAATCATATATAAATATGAATTTAATCAACTTATTTGCGTGAACCCCCCTGAGTTTTGGTAGCTTCTATGGGCCATTCAGATATCCCCGGAATTAAGATTCTCGGAACGTCTCTAAAATTTTCGATCATTTATACAGATAGTTTTCTTTGTTTTTGAAAAGGTCCCTCTATGTATAGGCTACCACGTGACATTGTATATTTCTACAATCAAAGTTTGTTGTAGATCGGAAAGTAAAAAAGTAGACTACATTGCAGTAAAAAAAATCATTTATTATATATTCCAACGTATTTGCCTTTTGAAAGAACATATGCGTTTTGATGTGAATGTTTATTAATTATATCAAGCAATGATTTGTATAGTGTCACTATACAAATCCTTGTATCAAGTATAATAATATAGTAACTTATATAATTTATGTTTTGAGACGGTCCCTGTACATGTTTTGTATGCAGTATTTAATACAACGTGTTATTCTGCATTCTGAGAAAAAAACCTGGGAATAGTAAACTGACAATATAATTATTATGTCCCAGAATAAACTGATTATTTCTTAACCCGAATAATTCAGTCGTTTATTCCACTGCTCTACGATGGTTACATCTCGCGAGTGGGAGAGTCGATCACGGGGAGGGACTGAATTATTCGGGTTAATTATTTCTGAACGTTTATCCCGTGATAATTTGTAGAGGCAATTATACACAACATGTGATCAAATGTCGGAAAGAAAAGAGAATTCATAAAACGATATTTCTGTTCACAAGGATTGTTGCATCTCACACAAAAACGATTAATATTTTACAATAATCATTTTTATTAATAATTACTGCGTTAATTATTTCATATCGTTTTAGTATGATTTTGTAAGTCTTTGCTGATTGTATTTTGTATAGCATTCATAAAATGGAAAGTTAAGAGATTGATTTGATAACAAAATGTCCATCAGTAAATACTTGACGATTGTGTTTATTGATAGTATATTTTAAATTTTCGGAAAAGATTTATTTACAGAAATGTGTGTAAACGATGCCGCTGCTGGTCGACTATCAGCCCCGAAGGTATCATCAGCTCAGTAGTCAGTACTGACATGATTTATAACAAACCTTTCTAAATTTGTCCGTTTATAAATTTTGAAATTATAAAGAAACTAAGGTTTCAACTCCTTCAGGCAAAGTTAAAATTGACCTTAGATGGATTTGGCTAATTTTCTTAGGTCAATTTGGGTATATAGCTCTTCAATTGTTTCGGTTTTTATACATCCTTGGCTTTCACATATTCAGCTTCGAGCGTTCCTGATGAAGGTAAATCCAGAAAAGCGTTTCGGACGCATGCATTTTATAACGTGTTGTTTTCATTTTTTTACAGCACTGGGGCGATATCGCTGCTGGAGGACTATCAGTCCCCGAGGGTATCACCAGCTCAGTAGTCATGCAGTACTTCTTCGGTACTGCATGATTTATAACAAGCCTTTCTAAAATTGTCCCTTTATACATTTTGAAATTATAAAGAAACTAAGGTTTCAACTCCCTCAGGCAAAGTTGACCTTACATGGATTTCAATTGTTTCGGTTTTTAAACATCCTTGGCTTTTAAATATTCGGCTTTGAGCTTTCCTGGTGAATTTAAATCCAGAAAAGCGCTTCGGACGCATGAAA